GTGTCTTCTCATGACAGGATGACACATCGCTGATAGGTCGTTGATAAGAACAAGAAGTGCGATGTGACAGTCCCTGCATCATTAAGCAATTATCGACATGATTAGAAGTAGCATGTTATTGTAATATGTGAGGGGTATGTCCTAGCTCTCCCTCTTAAATTAATGATACACGTTGCAATGCTTTAATATGAAGCGTAAGAGTTAGGGTGTTGAGTCATTTATTACGTTTTTCATTTCACGATCGAAATGCAAAAGTAGACACACACGTCGTTTTTTGTTATTTAAACAATAGACTGGGTTATGAACCATTGTGGAACTTTGGACCCCTTTCTTTACTCAACAATTGTTTATTGCTTTATAACGTTTAATTCAAATTTAATTACTTTATAAAATTACTTCATAAAGTACTTTTGGATTACTTTATACCTTTTAAATTGCATTAAATGTGCTTGTGTTATGTTTTTAAAATGAGACATAAAATACTAATAATACATTTTATTAAAGCCCATGGCAGATAACAATATGATGCGTCATTTTTGTGCTAATTTCCCAATAAAGTTACCTGGTTTTTTCCTAATCTTTCTTTATTCAACACATTTTATTTGTCGACGATTTATTTTCTTCCCCGCCTTATCTTTAATGTTGGAACAATTAAACATACCCCCTTTCTAAATTCCAAAAAGAAAAGTGTATGTAAATTGTATGGTGCCAATATTTATCTATTTGTCGTATTGTTGCATTTTATTCATTGACTTTGAGTTACAAGTTATTTCTTAAAAATCAATCCGAACTTTTAAGATTTGTGTATAGGATTGTGGTTATCATTCTAAAACCTATTTGCAAGTATCATGGTGTACTTCAGATCCTTTTTCATTTCGCAAAAACAAACTATTAGTTAATAACTTTAAGTGGAAAAATAATCTTCCTCACACTCATACTTTTATGATGATTTCACTGAGAATCTTTGTTCATTTATATGCATGTTATATGGTAAAAGTATTCTAAGTATTGTAAAAGTTAAACAATTATTGTTAAATGTTCGATTGAAGCAATGACACATATTAATAAAGATACATACATGCATATTTATCATGCGATACTGTATCATAACTATACAAAAATCACCCAACATTTCACATTAGAAACACATACAGTAAAAACTAGTCATCTCGCTTTTTCAGCTACAAAAACGTAGAATCAGAGTGATAATGTCTTTGAAAATAAAGTGATATGACTTTGACGACGAACCTTCATCGAAAATCACAGTCGAGTCATTTAATCGATGTGTCCAATTAATGGTATATAGTGTTTCACAAACGTTACGTCCCGTATCAACCTTTCAATGGTTCAAACGTATTTTATGATAATTTTGGACGGTCAATTAGTGGCATTTAGCTGGCATTCAACAACCCTCTCTTCTAATAAGTAGGTACATTTCATACAATTATAATATTATGTGCAGTTTATAAACACAACCCTCAAAGAATGATTTTGGTGAGACGGCTTATTCGATTTCTTTTCAAATACCATAAACGAAGATGTTGACAAATTATTAAGGCATAAAATATAATCATTATATGAAGATCGTTTACTTTTAATTCTTTATTTCACTTGCTTGATTTTGTTATGGTGTGTGTGTGTGTGTGTGTGGGGGGTGGTAATAGGATCATCATTCTTCTTTTCATCTTTTGCTTGAGTTGTGTCTCCATTCATTGTGTGATACAATTCAAAAGCAAGAACAAGACAAAAAATATAATGAAAATTTCTGCCAAAATTCACGCTTCCATTAAATACTTAAATTGTACGGTAGCATAATCTCTAGAGTTTAACCTCCGCAACCTTGCTCTCTTTCTTTGATTCCAGAGCATAATCGGATGAAGGTACTCACTGGCCGTGCTATTACTACACCCGTCACCATTTTAGCTCGATTTCTCTAATCCCAAGCCCTATTTCGCCATTTAAAAAACCACAGTCATGACAATCGCACTTTATGGACCCCTCCCGTAACTCCATTTTATAGATTACCAATCTCTCTTTCTACCACTGTTCCACTTTTCCAGGGTTCCCGTACTCTCATCTCGTTCTCCTACCCCCACCCATCCACATCTCCTTGCCTATACCCCTTCACCCTCTCTCTCTCCCACCCTCTTCCACAGCTTACAATGAGATTTCCAATTCCATATTAAAGATTAAACATACCCGCTCCCCACCCCCTCTCTCTCTCTCTCTTTCTCTCTATCACCCTTTCCCCCCAGCTCCAACTCCCTTTTCTTTAATCCCTTTCTCTAAGTGAAGTGAGTCCATAATGGGTTGTCCATCCATCGGAAACATGGCAGAAACACATTTTGTTTAAAATCCCCGCTGATCGATACCGACGTCTGCGGCTAGTCCAATTATTACTGCATTAACCGAGCATTTAACGGTATTGATTCGGCGCTCTCATGATAAAAGCCAATAGACCGAGCAAGCCGCTTACATGCAAATTTAAACGCCCCTTGACAGGCCGTGGGGTGAGAAGTGACCTTCGGGTGCGTGAAACATACGACTGTAATTGTCGGATTCGGTCCTATCTCTCACCGCTATTGATATATATGTGTGAATAAAGACACCCCGGTATTTCAACATTCGTGAAAATCAACAAATGTGTTTGAGGCATGTTAGAGAGAAAAAGCGAAATATTATTATGTTGTTGAAAGTCAGTAACTATTTTAAGTAAAAATGTGTCTTATCTCGTTGCCGATGAAGGGATTAGTATCGTTTTGAATCTTTGGGGTGAAAGCTATTACAGAATTCCGTTCAAATAACCGATTTTCACTTTAATTGATTTCAATAGATTTGTTTTTGTTTCTGTTTCAAGATATTAACATATTTTTGCAATATACTATCAATCATAAACAAATAAAAGTATAATATAAAGTGTTAAAAGAAGGTTTGTATTTTGATAATACCTCATGATTTATCTGTTTGACAAAGGTATTTTAATACTCAGTGTCAGAATTTAGTGAAAATCACTTACAATTATATGTTTGAAAAGAAATATATCACCTCCTTTTATATTCTGTTGTTACCCTCAATTAAAAAAATATATATCTTTATTTTGATTTAAACAAATTGATTAATATTTTTACAATATAAGTGAGAGTAGACCACAATTTCGCAAAATTCTTTATGAAAGAAGAATTTCCTTATGTAGTTACAATAGGGGAAAATCTAAATTATTTTATAAACGGTCTTTCTAGGACGTGAAACAGATTACAGAAAAGGTATCTTTATTTCAGGCAGTATTAGATAAGACTGTATGAAATATAAAATTTAATCCACATAAAAGCTTATGAGGGTGCCAATTAAGACGTATCATTTTCTAAATATTAAAATGATAATACGCCAGGTGTGTGAGAAAAAAAAACATGTATTCTTAATATAAAGTATATACAAAATTGAAACTTGAACTATTAATGTATCATGTTATTGATTTTGTTAGGGTGGGTCAATTTCTTCGCTAACATTTGTATAAAGGGGTCTATCTACATTCACAAAACAAGTACAGATTTCTTTTCTTTTTGCTGCTTAATCCGTTCAAAAAGAATAAGACTCTAACTTCGATAAAATACAGCGGCTTATCAATATCATTTCACTTTTTACTCCACTTGTATTGGATGCTTTAAAAGCAATAGTCATTAACGCAATAAAACCAGAATAAGGTGAAACGCCCAAGTAAAATGGTTGGTAGATTGAAGGTTGATATTATAAACAAGAGTAATATTTTCATTTTTCAATATAGATATTTTGAAACTTTGAAAGGTGTAGCTATTTTACCCCGCTTTGATACCCCCAAATTTTCACTGTGTAACTTATTAGGACTATTATTATTAGCAGTATAATTTCAATGTCTTACAATCTGGATTTGTTGAGTAATCAATCATTATACAGTAATTCTATTATTACTTCTTCATATTGGACAAAAGTCGGCAATAATTGTGTACCCAGTACAATGTGTATCTTGTGTAGGAAATTCAATTTTGTTAACGATAAACACTGCTTTTATATTAAAGTATTTATATTTTATTTTTGACATGGTAGCCATTCTCTATTCTATCGTTTGTAGATTTTTCCTTTATTCATTACTTATCATTATCTATTCTCCTTCAGCTCTGTAATTTCTTTCTCTTCAATTCTCCTTTTAAACCTCTGTTCTTTTCTCTCTTTTCTCCCCTTTGTGGTAAATTGAATCGTTTGGAAGCACTCATCCGTACTTCGACCCGTCTCCGATAAACGTCGTTGAAAATGTCAAATTGAATCGGAGAAAGGCGATTGTTGCCCAAATCGTTCTCTATTCCAAACCTTCCAATTTGCACATCTCGCCCATCGCTGGCGATTCAAATAAGCACCCTCCTAAGACGGTACATGTCAGAGTTGAAACACTTGACTCCACTTCTTCATCGCGATACAGGACACCGACGCGTGTAAAACAAATACACCCAGGCCCCAAGAAAAACACCTTAAATGCGATCGTTTCGAATACTTAGCGCGCCTAATCAGAGGTCAGGATGGATAAACTGATGGGCGCCGAAATTGGCGACATGTTGGAAGTGAGTATCTGTGGCGGATCGTCTAAATTAACGTGTAATTCGACAATAAAGACGTCAGTGTACACACTAACATCTAACCGGCTTTGATTGCAGACGTATTAAGTGAGCCATTACTATACTTATAATTTGCCTTTAATGGCCAGAAAATTACTCCCGAGCTCGCAACTCACTCGCTAATCACTTTACCACGATCGTAAATCGGTGACAAGCGACTATAAACCTTAAAATGGTTTCGATAAAGCGAATGAGTAGCGGCGAATAAATTTGTTAAAATTGATGCGGTAATGCGTTAGTAGATGCCATAAATCTGCCCGTCTGCGAGGTTTAGCTATGCAATCAACGGTAATTAATGCACCATTGAAACTTGATCGAAGGCGGAGGGAAAACAAGAAAATGACGGTGAACACTTACCACCTGTGTCGTTGTTTATCAGGTCAATTGTCTTATCGTCTAGCCCCAGTTTAGATTGTTTATGGCTAAGCAAGAAATGAGTGTCGCAAGATGTTGGGTCGTGTTTCGTCTTCTCATAACCCGATTTCTCCACGGCGTGCTTGAAAGAGGCACGGAGTCCTCGACAGTGCGCGTGGAACTCGGCCGCTTGAGCCAGCGTTGTCGCGTCCCACGGGCAGGCTGTCGATCGGGCGAGGGCTCCCGCCTGTGCGTGGTGATAATGGTAGTGGGCGTGATGTCTATCCACTGCCGAAGCTGCGGCGGCCGCCACGGCTGAAGGGTCGGGTGGGATTCCCAAGATATCGGAGATGAAGTACGGTGTGACTCGCTTTGTCGGCGGTCGGTAGGTGTGCGGGTGCCATGTACCTACGGCCACTAGGGGAGGGAAGCCAGGGCCGAGAGGGGAGAAGTGGGACAGAGGGGTGAATTTTGAAGGGTGGACTGGGGTAAACGCCATGAGTTCTGGTGGGCAATGCGGAAACATCACAATTTACAAAACAATTTCAAGATAATTTTTAGTTTATGAACTCCCAAAGTTGATGTCCCCAACTTTGTCTCTTCCTTGTGAAGTAGATAAACAAATCTGCCTTTTCTCCTGGATACTGTCCATTCGACAAATCAAACAAGTTCATTCAAAACTGATTTTCCTGCAGCTTTCCATATCCCTGCCCCACACAATGCAAGCTGAAGTTGTTTTCTGAAGATTTCACTTGACTATACTTTCCTATCCATTGCAAAATGTTCTTTGTTCAAACGCTTGATATCAAAATACAACAATTTTCTGAAGTGAAGCTAGGCAATTGAATAAGGGGATTCCTTGAGCTGCCCCAACCTGAAATCTTAACTAAAACACGTGAAATGTCGAAAGCTCAGGACTGAGGATGTCCAGTTTTAGACCGTCCTTCTAAGGCCTCGTCGATGTGCTGAAATGACAAGCTCTCAGTCGGAGGCAGGAATTTATTAATCCATGTCTCCATCTATTAAATCATCATCCTTAACGTGCAATGAGATTAAGAGAACGAGTTGAACGCGATTAGCCGCTTTCCGACTTCCTAGTCCAACGAGAGAGGTTGCGGGAGAGAGTTGGTCACCCGAAGCAGGTGAAAAACAGTAGAGCGAGATGAAATGCAGTGGGCTTGTTTCTGTGTCCGAAGACGCGAATAGAATGGGGGTTGTCCCGAGCACTAGTGGGTGTTTCTCTCTCCCTCACCGTCCCGTAGCTGTCTCGCTGATCTCTAGCACGCGTGCGCAAACGGTATGCGCACACATCGCTCTTTCTCCCAGAATTCTGTCTCTCACTTTAGCTTTGTGATTAATTGAGTTGTTTTATAGCCGCGGCACAAAAACCGAAAATAAAAAAGTACTCCGTCATAATCAGATAATGTACCAGTTTAAACGACATTTATACAGCATAAGAATATAAAAGGTTCAGTTGGGATAAAGTGAGTACTAGTAATATAGCAAAGGTAGGACATTTTGTTTCGGGATAAGAATTTGTTAGGGCGTTACGCATTATCATGGTTATGGGCATTTTATTTATGTTCCCTCGTACACATTTATTTGAACCCCCCTCCCTGTATCTGGTTTGCTTCGCCTGAAATAAGGATTCAAGCTGGTGCAATACCAGTGGGACTTGAGTTGAGAATGAATTGATCATTACTATGATATCTTGATTCCTGCAGTCATTAAAACTTTATTCAGTCCGTTTAAATTCTTCATTATTCTTTAACACAAATAATCATGATAACTATTGAGTTTTTGCCATTATATTACACGTTTTTATGAAATCCTGATGATTCTTTTCTAAAGCCTATTAATCGAATTTTAAAATTTTAAAATGAATATATATTGTTGTGATATTTGAGTCGATATATGTTTCAATCATTCTTAAACGTCTTATCGTATTCTATGATTCTCTGATTGCAGCGTTGTTTGATCTAAATTCTTCGAAAGATCTGTTATTGTGGATCCTCATAGAGAAACAATAACCTTATCCTTTCCCATAGTACGTCTTTTCAAATCTATTATGTAATTCTGTAATTTCCTAGGTATTATAAAACTATGGAGCGGAGCTATGCAGAAACAAAATAATGTTTTGTGTTGCGACAATCACCATGTAAATTATTTCCTACCAAAATGAAGTTTGGAAATAGTTTTATCTCATAAATTTAGTACGGGCACTCAGAAAACATTACAGGGGATTAAATTTATATTTTGACACTATGTTTGAAACTTGTCCCATCCACATTAGCAATGATCGGTATATGCAATGGATATGTAAAATGCCCAACTTGATCTATATTCAATACATCAAAGAAATATGTTTTGAAACGGACAGAGACTGCCTATCTGATACCAAAATAAGTATGTTGTAATTGTATATATATATATTATAGATAAAATAGATAATTTTACAGATAGCACGAACATGAATACTACTAGGTCTTTCTTTGAAGATAATAAATTAGACCAGTTTTACGGCGTGCATCCAACGTTTTTAGGTGGACAAATCTAATATGAAAGTTTCCTTTTCAGGCTTTTTGGTTGTAGGGAAATAAAAGTAAGAAGAGATATAAGTAAAAAGTAAACAAATAATGTAAATAGGTTGAGAGGAGGTAAACAAGAATAAAGGATAAATATGTCGATATAAAGGTCTAATTTTCAGATCGTGTTGCGATTTGGCTTTTTAGTGCAGTTCTCTAGTTTGAAGATTTTGGGGATCTTCCACAAAAATCGTTTTTGATTAACAGAATTATGCAAAGCTATTAAAATGAAAGACGTGACAACGTCGACGTTTTGAAAAGTCTGATAATTTTGTTTTTGCCACTTCGATCTAACTTTGCAGAGATTTTCATCGATCGAGGTCCATATGTGTTGGAGGGTATAAGTCCTCGGACCTCACATATGAAACATGGAATATATTTGTTCTATATATTTGCAATATACATCCTATCGTCATGCCTCCGTGATATCCTGTCGCCATTCGAGGTAACTCCTCTAGCTCGGCCGCCCGACCATCTTTCTCCCCCGATCGTGTATGTCTAGGGATTTCAACCCATCTAACATTGACCATGATAATGAGGTGAAAATACCTCAGGTTTAGCCCTCCGTCTCAGGCCAGATTAGCTACATCAACTCAGCGCTTTCGAGCCACCCACGGGTTCTCATTCAACCGAGTAGTCCCAAATCGTTATTATAACATCGTTTACACATATCTTTTTTTATTCGTCTCCCGGCGGCATCTTCTCCCTCTCGTATCCTTCTCTTTGCGAGCTCCCCAGTGAGGTTTTAAGCCTGGTACTTGTCAATACGGCTACTCAGCAGGCGCTAATTGGTGCCATTAGATCCCGACACGACTCGACCTTTATTTCATGGGAGATGGAGAAAGAGCGAGCACGAGATGGGTGTGGGGAAAGGGGGGGGGGGTGAGAGAAAAAGGAAGACAGAGGGGATGTTCTAACGTATTTGAAGGGGGCAAGGGGACACCCCTCTCCCCGTGAGATTTGCGACCGCGAAAACGAAATGCTGCCTTCCTAGTAGAAAGTAGTAAGCAGGTTGAAAGTCACTGTAAGTCAAGGGACCAAGAAGTTTTTAGCTCAATGATAACTCCTTGAAGAAACGTGCGAAGTGAAGACATACAATATTCTCAAAAGTTGTTCTTTTTCTTCCTTAAACACTTTTTTTGCGATGCCTCACCCCAGGCCCTCTGAATATATTAAAAGTATATTGAAGATAGTAAGCTGGCAATGTGTCGCCCCTCCTGAGCCAAAGGTCTGGAAACGCCACCGAGGGGATGAGAAGAATGGAGACGAAAAAGGACGTGTATCGGTTCTGCGGAGGCTATATGCGAGGAGTTCTTGAGCTCCTTTCAGACACCCCGCTCACATCGATGTGTGGGACCGAAGAAGAAGAAGAGCTCGCAGGGCCACAAAGAGCAGATATGGGTCACGCTAGAACAACAGCCACCCAGTTAAGTGGATAACCCTTGCCAGAAATAAAAACAGTCATAATGGCCGCTCTGTGCGTGCTATATTTTTTAACTTTCATGGTACCAACGTCTCCGCAGAGGCTAAAAAAGAGAAAAGAGAGGAGCTTTTTTGCTCATCATCAGGGAGGTGGAGGCTATGATTAACCCAAGACAAAGGGTCAACAGTTCTTGGAAATACATTGAATCTTCAATAATCATGATAATAATATAGAGTCTTCTTATCTGTACGCCTCCCTCTCACCCCCTCTCGCTCTGTCTCACTTTCTTTCTGTCACACACACACAGACACACCCACACATCTATCTCCTATTAATTCACTCTATTTATTTCTGTCTTTCTCACATAAACATACACACCCCATGCTCTCTCTCTCTCTCTCTCTCTCTCTTTCCCTCTTCTTCTCCCTTCAACCATAGCAGGTCCATGCTTCAACTATCTCTCTCTCTTTCTCTATCTCTCCCTCATCCTCACCCTTTCTCTTCATCCACCCCTCTCTATCCCTCTCTTTCTATCTTCCTCTCCATCCAACTATCTCTCTCTCTCTCTCTCTCTCACCCACCCCTTCTCTCCCTCCAACTATCGCTCTCCCCTCTCTCGCTCTCTTTACGCCTTTACATTTTCACAATTATGACTTAGGCACTCAGTATTCAACATTTCGAACCGTTTTACTCTTTCACTTTCTACTGGCCTTTTTAATATTGTACCGTACAATTTTTAGTTGAATGTATCCGGATATCCTTGCATCATGTTCTTTCATTGTGTCGATGATTACACTGAGAGCGGCTAATCTGTCCATACCGAAGGCAACAAATTTGTTACAGATTCAACACTCCTCATTAAAACAACTCACAGTCAAGTGATGCGAGCAGTAAATTGGCATTATCTTGAAGCGACCCGAGTTTAATCATCTATGTGATCATTGCCAATTTCCTCGTCTTTCAATTTCCCGCCCATTATACGGCCATGTTGTTTATTCCGCAACTCTCGATGACCAATGTTCAAATGTTTGCCGGTGACTTCATTAATTCAATTCCTCACTTCAAACACAATTAACTCCGTCGTAGCTGATGGGCGTCTGAAGCTCCCCCTCCCCGGCCCCTGCCCCTCAAAACCAACCTCTCTTTAGTTAGCCCCTCACCTTTCACCATGAATATGACTCATAAATAAATTATGTGAAAGTGAATTGAAAGCTTGATTGATTATCAATACAAAAATTAAGTATATAGGTCCTTAAAGTTACTATCAATTAGCATCGATCAAATACTTATAGACGACAAGATATTAAAGAAAACTGGAGTGAAAAGCCCCCCCCCCCCCACCAACACACACATAGCAGAGTATGAATGTATTTTGTGTCAAACTATAGCGTATTAGTTAACTAATAAAACAAAACAAGACAAACTGTTGAACATACTAAATGGAATGTCTATCTATGCTTTAAACTTCTTATTACCTTTTCATCTTACCTTTTAAGGATGTACAAATGCAAACAATCTTACTCTTTATTATCTCTAAATCATTTATGCTATCATTTTCATGTTTATTAATATTACAAGTATTATCTATTTCGTGTCGAATTCTTGGTTATCAATTGATATAACTTTTGGAATAAATGGGCCTACTGATGAACATATTAATATATCATCGCTTTATAAACGGTTTTCTACTCTCTAAAAAAATCGAGTGATCACGGACGTCACTCCTCTGGAGAGTGAAAATGTAGTGAAAATAGAGTGAACATTCACTCTTTTCTTCTTAGAGAGCACTCTAAAATCAATCGATTTTGACTCCTAAACAAGTGATCACGGACGTCACTCCCAAGAAAGTAAAAATAGAGTGAAAATTCACTCTTTTTTTTAAGAGACTAGAGATAATGATAGAGCGTTACGTTGCTTAATAGATGTGTTAACAGTTGGTATATTGACGAATATGTACCGACGAATTCACTTTAACGTTGCTGTTCATAGTCAAATATGAGGTGTACATAAAAACGTCCACATCAAGAAGAAAATCATGAGAGATGCCATTCTTTCAAAACCTATTTCATAAACGATCAAATTTGACAGAAAACACGGCAATATTTGGACCTCGTTGTGTGCATTGTTTTCCAATCGACTCTGTCACTGGGTTGTAATACTTCCACGTGATCGTCGACGGTCAGTAGGCCAACTCGGAGGTTTCGATCATATAACTTCGATATTTACGACC